AAGGATAAGGATATAAATCCTCCCAAAATTTCTGGAGCTTTTCAAACAAATTGGAAGAGGTAAAGAAAAATGATCTATTATACCATATAGTATGAATTTATCTTTTCTAACATGAACAAATGATATGAGCAGAAAAAAATTATTGGAGTGGCTTCCAGAGCCTTCTATATTTGTATGATTCACTTAGCCAACCAGCTGGCTCGGAGTTCCCTACTACATACAAGTAGACATATCTTTCTAGCTATGTCTTCCCTAAAGACACAGCAACTTAGCAGTAAAGTTCACTGGAGACTCACTCATCCATTGTTAACTGCTGGAGTCAGCAGCAAATCAGAAGCACAACAATTATTGTCTTAACTTGATTTTTATTTAGACAAAAACATACCTTAAGAATCAGGGAAAAATACATTTTATGCTATAGTTTAGGACTTTTAAAAAATTCAGAATTACACACAGCAGGGCTTGTGGTAATGATGCCAGATCTCTAAAAGCTCACCCCAGGCAGGATCCGGTTACAAAGCTTGACAATTTATTTTGGTTCCTTTCTAAAGAATTTACTGAAATGTTTGTGCACAGACTCATACAAGGAGAAAAGAGAACAGGTGAGGTACCCATGAAGAGGGCATTTATAGCAGCCGAAAACATTCATTTGACCCTCTGAATAATACACATGATCAGTATAGCACAATTAAGAGAATGAAACACAGACAGTATGAAATGGTGGATTCCAAAGCCAACCTTGCCCATAATTATACCTAAGACCATTCCAGACCCTTGGTGCTCTTCCCCTCACATTGCCACTACAGTTTGGAGTTCACAGGTTAGTCGCCAGGTCTAGGTGTAGCTTTCTCATTGACACAGATGGGTCAAGAGCAAGAGGACGGATAAGTGACACAAAGAACCATGCATGGCCTTTGGTGTCAGGCAGACTTCGATGAAAACAACTTTTTTTTTTTTTGACTTCTTTAGTCCTGAAATAGAGGTAAGAATATCCATTTTATAGACTTTTGAGATTAAGGAAATCAAACACATGAAGAACTAGAAAACTGGGTCTTAGCATTGTGAGTAATGTCCAGTATGCCACCAGTAAGTTCACAGCTCAGTCACCTGGCTAAGATATCGTCCATTTATTCAAACAGTATTCACTGAGCACTGCTGGGGTCTCAACATGAAATGTCATCCATAGTTCTATGCATTTGAAGAGTTGGTGCTGCTGCTTCAAAACGTTACAGAAATTGCTGGAAGTGGGTCACGGGGGTGGGGCAGATGGGGAGTGGATGGGACACCCTGTTTTATAGCTCAGCCCCACTTCCTAGACATTCTTTGCTTCCTGTGTGTGGATGCAATGTGTCCAGCTGTCTGGAGCTCCTGCTGCTTTACCTTCCCTGCCATGGCAGACTATATGCTTTCAAACTGTAAGCCAACACTCAGCCCTTTGTCCCCTCTAGCACCTCTTGTCAGGTAACAGTAATAAGAAAAGTCACCCCTGTTGGCATCTGCCAGAAGCCACCCAGAGTGTTCAGTGCTAAAATCGGTTTCAGAATGTTCCTAAGGTGGAAGAAAATAAGAATAAAGGAAATATATTATTTTGTTTGATGAAAGAAGTTTGCCTTTATTAAAATAGAAGGGGGGTTAAGCATATATTTAATGATGAAGGTTAAGGGAAAGCAGAAAGGGGCATGAGCGTGTAGGATTCTCAAGAGATTCAGGAAGGTATGAAATTGACTAAGAAGTTAATTCCATACCAAACACAGTCAACGACTCCTGTTTCCTTAGAAAGAATGAAAAAAAAATGCAGTCTGCAATGGGAAGGAACAAGCAATACGCTTTCCATTCTACACATGAGCAACTGATTACCAACCTCTTCCCAGCCATTTAAGTGCTAATGCAGGCCTTTGATTAGGTTGCTCAGACCACAATGCTACACAAAGAGACCAGAAAGGAATGAAAGCAAAAGGCTGTGGCCATGTCTCTCCCTTGTGGTGCAGGAAAGTACTTTAGTTTTATTTTTTTTTAACCTTTTCATCTCCACTATAGAATTTCTTAAAAGACAAAACTTTAATTTAAATCCAAATGTGTGTGTCTACCCAAACATATCCAGAAATCCCACTTGTTAAATGTTTCTTTAGGGTGTGTGTGTGTTCACGAATGTGTAGGTACATGCATGTGTGGATGTGGAGGCATGACGTGTCTGCCTCTATCACACACCACCTTGTTTCCTTGAGACAAGGTCTGTTACTAAACTGGAAGTCACCATTCACCTAGACTGACTGATTAACTCTGCTGGATGTGATGGTCTCTGTCCCCAGGGTTACAGATGTGTATAGCCATGCCTGGCTCTGAGTCCTGACTGTCTCTGTCCCCAGGGTTACAGATGTCTACAGCTATGCCTGATTGTTCACACAGGTGCTAGAATCTGAACAAAGGTTCTCCTCCTTATCCAGTAAGCCATCTCCAAAGTCCAACGTTTCCTCTTTAAGAGCTATGATCCAATGCTACAATTAACTATAAACTGTATTAGCCAATGCATCTTTACTGTGACTTGACACATTGTGTTCTTCATACTTTTTTAGCCAGTATCTAAGAGGAAAGATTTCTTTAGAGGGAATAGGCTTTATTTTCTATGGAAACATAGAAAAGCTAAAGCTCTAGAACCTCAAGGCAGAATAAGAGCCTTCAAAGACATCCACACTCCATCCTAAGGACCCGTGAATAAGCTACTTCACATGGCAAAACAACTTTTGCAGACACGGTTTTGAGAATGGGGAGGTTTTCCTAAGTTATATAAGTTATTCTAGGGTTACATGAATCCTTAAAAATGGAGAACCTTTTTTGACTGTGACCAGAAAAAGAAAAGCAGCTGTTGGGTAGGGGCCAGGAGGTACAGTATCACTGGGCTTAGAGACTGTGGAAGAAGGCTATGATCTAAAATATGCATCACTCTCTAGAAGCTGGGAAAGGCAAGAAGATGGATTCTTCCTACAGCCTTAGAAGGGATGTAGTTACGTCTTGACTATATGCCCGCAAATCATTATTAAAATAAATAAGTAAATAAAAATTGTCAAAATTAATTGGATAATAAATAGAAAAGTCAGGCACCAGAGGATATTAGGCAGGGAGAGAGATGAGTCCACGCAGAGAAGTGGGAAGATGACCAGTTCAAAGGCCCAGATTGGTCCCCAGGCTCCACATCATGAGGACCATGATGCTGCCAGTGGGAAACAGCAGAAGCTAGGATTGTGACACTAGGGATCATGTATGTTTGTTTGCCCAGTTAAAGAGAGCAAAACAAAGTTAGGTTTCCCACTCTGGGTGTTTCTTCTCTAACCCTGTCATCATCACATTAATGTTTATCAATCATCACCCTCCAACTTCTGATGCATGGGGTCTCACCACGCTTGACATTCTTTAGTCCACATGAGAGCTGCAGTTCCTATTCCAGGTTGGAATGTGAAGTCTGAGAACAAAGGACCCACAGATGCTCATACATCACTGCTTCCTTGGTCTCACTGTAGAAATAACAGGGCCCTTTCCCAACTGCCTGCTCAGCCTGCATCACTCGAGGCTCTACTGTCTTACCTGTGTGCCTACAGGTGTGACCCATAATGCAGCTGTGCTGTGGAGGCAGGTACTGTGTTGTGCAGTCCTTTGTAGTCAAAGAATTGAGTTTTTTTATGGTAGCTACATGATTTATTAAAGTTCATTTGGCTTTGTTCATTGGGTTAACCTTAGTTTTCAGATATGTACCCCAGAGAGACTTGACTTTGAACAAGATTATGGAACAAGTTTGAGAGTCACCATAGAAGGATAAGAAAAATATCTGGTTTCATTCAATGAATCTGTCTGATATTCAAAGACCTGAAAATTATAAGAAAATTGGTCCTAAGGGGAGCCAAAGGCCGATGGACTGGCCCAGCCAAAGGTCATTTATAAAAAGAATGGGTGGAGATGGACGACACCCTGGGATTAATGACTTTAAGTTGAAAAGTTTTGGGGTTTCAATTTTTCCTTTTTGTTTTCCTTAGGCACCTTCCTTCCCCAGCAGGCTCATCTGAAAGCGGATGGGATCTTGACAAATCCTCTTATGTTTCATGTGTTTCAATATCTCTCCTTCTCTCCTCCCAAGACATAGCTTTACACTGATGAAATCAGGCAGAGAGATTTATGAGCCTGAGTTCTTCTACGTGTCAGCTGATCCAGGGGAGGCATAAAGACTTCCTCCTTCATCTGTTTCCTCCTTTGTCTACCTGGAGCACGATGTCTGTCTCTCCTAGCGTGATGCAGGAAGCCCCCCATAGGCCATTAAAACATGTCCACGAGAGTCAGATGTATATGTGAGACTTATGTTTATTGCCCTTTCGTTCTCCATCCTTTTTCTCCATTTTCTCTGTCTTCTAATTGCTGTCTCCTATTTGCCCTTGGACTGTGGATCTGACACCTCCCTTAATTCACTTTTTGGCCTGCGTCTCTTCTAATACCCAGAGGCTGACCTGGACTTCCGAAACTGCTCCTCCCCTCGCTTCCTAGACAGGACTTGACACTCATTGCTGGCTTCCCAGCCGAGGAACCGCCTGTCTCGGGTTTCAGTCTCTTTTACTCTGCATGTGACGGGCTGTGTGTGCCACGATGCCTCCGCTTCTGTCTGTTTTTTTTTTTTTTTTTTTTTTTTTTTGGTTTTTTTGGTTTTTCGAGACAGGGTTTTAACCTTCTTCGGTAATGAAGGGTGGAGTGCTCATGCTCATCACTGAAAGTCCATCTTCTTTCTTTTTAAGAAACTTTCTCCTTATAACGAGAATATCAAAGGGCAGTGGCCAACGGCCGGGTACAGAGTGCAGAAAGCTATTGTTTAGCCAGGATAGCTTCTGAGAACTCCAGGATGATGTCCACAACGATGTGGCTGCACCTCACACAACTGCACTTTGTGCCTAGCCACGGTGAAACTGGTTCTAAAGAATTATGTTTTGCATCCTTTATTTACTTGCTTGTTTTTAAGGTCACCGAGGGTGTGTACCATATGAGGAGAAATCACATTGCCAGATCAACCAGTGGAATGGACATGCTCCATTCCATCGTTCTTCTCCAAAAACCATTTAAGTTTTGTTTTTATCCTTGGACCGAGGACACAACACATGATAAATTGATAAGAACAAATAATGCACTTGATCACAGCCAAAAGGCCAAGAAGTCAAGCATTCACTTCATTTTCCCCAAAGGAAGCTCCAGCCTTTGTTCTCTCCTGGGTCCTGCTCTGTTAGCCACTTTGGGGGTTAAGTTGGTTGCTAAGCTTACCCGTACTTCTTCATTTTAACTCTCTCAGAAATAAACGCTACCACTTGGATGTGGTGGTACACGCCTTTAATCCCAGCCCTTGACAGAGGCAGGCAAATCTCTGATTTCAAGGCCAACCTGGTCTACAGGTGTTCCAAGAAAGCCAAGACTACACAAAGGAACTCTGTCTCAGAAACAAAATTGAACAGAAAACAAAGGGAAAAGAAAGAAAATGCTACCATTACACCCATGTTTGGGTAGCTGGGATTAAGATTTCCTACCTCAGAAGTCTCATCCAGCCCCTTGGAGATTCATATACCATGAGCATTTAATGCATATCAACTAAACACTGCTGAACACTTGCAGAAATCCAAAGATGAATCATACATAAAGCATTTCTTCTTGAAGTTTATACTTCTAAACAATAACAACAGATGAGCCATTTACTAAGGCCCTTCATGCTAGGAAGTGTACTGTTACATACGTATTATTTATCTCATTGATTTAACAGTTGGATAACGTAAGTCATTTTTCTCTAGCCTTTGGCAATGATATATACTTATTTGGAAAGCAAGCTTGGGATTAAGGTCCACTAAAAATGGGACTGGTGTCTGCAGAGGCTTCTGTGCCAAACAGAGCGCCGAGGAATGCTGCACACGAGGGCCTGTCTTCATTTTAAAGATAAGGAATCTGAGGATCAGCCAGGTTTAAAGAATTTACAGAGACAACTTAGCTAATAAGACACAGAGACAGTATTGTTGTGAGGGACCTAATGTCACTGAATGGTACACTTAAATTGTAGCAACTGATAAATTTTATGTTAGGAATATTCTATTATGATGAAAAACTTAAAAAATTATTTAAACTATTTCTCAAAAGCTTTAGATTCTCATTTTATAAATGCAGAAGCACTTAACACAAAGGCCGCCAGCCTCAGATGACTCCTGGGCCCTCAAAATACACTGGTGTTAATCAAAATGTTCTATGCATGCAAAATATATATTGGGTTTTGAAAGTTTACTAGTGAGTGTGTAAAATATTTCATTAATGATGTTTTATATTGGTAACAGTCAAAAGTGATAGCAATTGGGATATGCTAAGCCAATAAAATACATCATTATTTTTTAATAAAGGAAAAGGCAGAGAAAAGAGGCAGGAAAGAGGTTGAGATTGAGGGTTGGAGTGGGGATGGGAGAAGAGATCAAACTAGGCAGTCCATACAGTCCCCAAATTGTCAGGCCCTTGATATTTCTCTAGGCTGGATTTCAAGATCCACTGGGCAGACAACAATAAGATTTTGGAAACAAAAATATTACAAGGCCAAATGTTATGCTTTGGTGTCCTCACCTAGACAAAGTCTATAAAATGAACTGGGGGAAGGTCAGGAGAGTGGACAGACGGATGGGCTAACTTTCACCTTTTTCTCCCTAGTTCTACCTCCTTTTATGTCAACATTTGTCTTGACATTGGAAATGTCCTCAACAAAATCTAGTACTCGGTGGCATACTTGCCTGGCGCTCTCCGTTTTTAAATAATTTAAATATGATATTATTTTACCTTTCTCCCCCTAATAGTCTGTAGGCTTAGAACACAATTTGAAGCTCATTTTCCAGAGAGGAATCCAATTTGGCTCTTCTTATTTCTTTTCAGATATTATATGATTTTATTTTTTATTGCAACTCTTTAGAATGGTTCACAGATGTTGCTGCTAAAATAGATCCTTCTGGAACTATTTGGTTTGAGAAAATTTTCTGTTGCCATGGATTAAACTAATAGGAGACCTCGTGTTTAAAATTCAAGGCTGCATTCATATTAGAAGACTAACAGAATTTTCTTGAATTTATATAACACAGTCATGGGGGGTTGTGGTCTGTGCATACTAAAGGCAATCTCTCCTCAAATTAACCAAGCTAATGCTTTCATAAACAAAGACATTAATTCCTTTTCTTGGTTAACTTCGTGGGGAAAATGCAACCACCAGGAAAATATGATTTAAATTTTACACACAAATATGCTAAAATTTAACAAAACATTATTGGAAATAATGTAACAAACTATTGTTAGATTTAAGTTTCTTCTGAGTTTTGTACAAAGTGCTGATGTGTGGAGGTACATACAAAAGTGCCCCTGGTTTCCCTTCCCAGTCTCTTCTCTTTTAATAATCCCAGCATAACCACCAAGCTCATCTTCACTGTCCCACATATGATGCCTGGGCCGCCAGCATACTTGCACCTCTAACTATGATCCATCTCTTAAGACTCCATCCGCATCACTCTGTTTCCCACCTTCCAACCTGGAACCTGTGGTTCTGGCTGCTTAAACCAAACTGCCTGTTTTAGCCACAGCAAGGTTGTTCCAGATGTAGTGTCCAAAGTAGGATGTGTCCACCACCAGCTTCCTGAATCCACAGAACCATGAGTTACAAAATGGATTTGTGATCTGGGAAACTTTACCTACCATATCGTATTTTGTTGGATACTTGCAATAGAAACCTTTAATAGTTCATGTACTTACTTTCGGTGGTGTACCTGATCATTGATTTTGTTTAACTCTGTGTTTTATTGATGTTAACCCCCATCTTGCATCATTTAACACTCTGAAAAACTTGCTTGCCAAGCCACCTTCCTAATGACGACTATGGGGGACCACTCCCTCTTCTTATGCCCTAGCTGCTCCACAAGATGGATAGGCTCCTTGAGTAACAATACCCGAGAGAGTATCTTGAGGCAGGCCTCCAGGCCTCACCGCCTCTCTGCACGTCGGTTGAAGATCACAGCAAGCATCAACGTGTCTCCTTGGTTCTCTGAGTTTTTGTAAGATTTGTAAGTTTGCTTTTCCTTAAAGAATTGTCAGAATGAAACGAAGTACTATATCCAAAGCACTTCCCATACTAATACCCAGGAGAAATTAGCCTTCCAAGAGGTGTTTACTGTTGAGTATAAGACATCTCTCAAACATTCGCTGTTTCCTGCTGCCCTGAAACCTTCCAGGGTCAGGTACACACCATTCCATTTTTCTCTTCACAACCGTAATCAAGAATTTGTACTCAGTAGCTTAGTTATTTGTAAATCTGCTCAGTGTTCTCTTGCCCATTATCCAATTAGCCCAGTAAGTACTTCATTTACTCTGTTCGCATGGTCTCCTCTCTGCAATTCATTCGCCATACTGCCATTTAATTATTTTTAAACACAGATCTAATGATGCCATTCCCATGCTCAAGGACAGTTAATGATCTCCCATTATCCATGTAATAGAGGGAAGTAACTCCTCACCATGGCAGACACACCCGAGTTCACACTTCCCATGATGCAGTTTTATAATTTAGGTACCCTGCAATACTCTTCAAATGTATAAAACGCAATGAGTTTTAAGAGCCCTGGGTTTTATCGATACAATTTTTTTGATGTTATTGTTTTGGCATTTGCTTTCCTTTGAAAACTCTTCCTTGCCCCTTTCACTTGCTTAGAAAATAATTAATCCCTTTTTTAGGTCCATTCCATATTTTATCTGCTACATGAAACATGTTTCCAGTTTCAGACAGAAAACTGTTTTCTCTTGATCTTAGTTTTAGAAATATATGTTGTATATATTTAGTATTATGCTATATTTTAAAGAATAACTTACATATAGAGACAGTTGCCTACATTGAATAGTCAGCCCCATGAAAGAAGATATTTTACTGGGTCATTTATGGTGTGCAAACAAAATACAAAATCTTGCATACAGTATGAATTCACATAGCTATTTAGTAACTGTATTTACCTATATAGAAGGCTTTTTAGTACTGTTAACTCCTTAAGCAAATAGTACACCTTAAAAGTCAGTTGATTGCTAATATTCTCCTTGTCAAAGATCCTGCTCATTACCAAAGAATTCACAATAGGCCTCTTAAAAAAACATATTCTATATCTAAATAAAAACACTATCACATGGAAATCTTGCAACACACGCCTACAACACACACCTGGATGCACAGACTTTCCCAGGAATCCGTCTTGTACATCTATGCTCCTATAGTTACTATGTTTTTAGTGAGACCCCTTAAACTAAACATGCAGGCCAAGTAGTATCCTGGCCCTAGAAGAACATAGTATCTTCACTTTCCCTATGGAGATTTCCTGGTTGGTTCTCAGTGGGGTGTACTCACGCTCCCTAATCTAAGTTCACTTGTAGGTCAGTTTACTTCTGATTCAATGACCTCACCTCCTTCTTGGGAGCTACCTTCCCTTCAAAGAGCTGCTCTCGGAAAATCACACAGGGGACATACCCACGGCAGAGCAAATTTTCCAGACCCAAAGGGCAGCATCTCCAGTGCGCATTGTTCTCAACACCTCCTGTTCTGGCTGGGGACCAGTCTTAGAAACACTGGCTAGCAGAAGTAGGAATAACTCCTCCGCAGAATGCCTACTTTCCTACATCTTAAGTTTTCCGAAACTTAGGTGTTTATGCTTGAGGCAGGATTCTTTTTCTTTTTATACTTGGTGAGTCTCACAAGACTTGTCAGATATAAGTTAGCGAGGTCTCTGTGGCGTGATAGTTTCAGCACAGCACCATCCAGCATTCCCTTTCCTGATCCTAATTTTCTTGATTCATAGGAGTTCTGCTCAATCCGATGCTTGGGACCTCTTTAGCTGGTCCTAATTTCCATGACTTGGATAGACGGATTCTATTTTGTCAGTTAATAATAAACTATTATCTACCCCTGCTACACCTCTGGCAAGAGCTTTTTCCAGAAACTACTTTATAGTTATTATCTAATCTCTATAAAACCATGAAGGAAGTGTTCCCATCTAACAGATGGTAAATGATTAAGGAACCGAGAGTTACGGACCCTGCTCAAGGTGACAGGGCAGTTCAGTGATGAAATAATACCAAGAGTTCATTTTCTGTGGGTCAATCAGCAAGCCTCATAGCATTGTAT